ATCAGGGTCAAGGTTTTCCTCCAAATGGTTTCAATCCAGCTCCTATGAAGGGGATGCATGATAGTGAGTCAACTTATTACAGTATAATATAGCTACAATGYATTCTTAGTATTATTCTTTAATTTCATTCTAATTGTATTATCTTTGGCTGTCTATCCATTCCTTTATTGTTCTATAATAATATAAATGATAAACCTTTTGATGGACAGGGAAGGGAGTAATAATGGCAAAACAATGCTTTAGAGCTGGGCAATAGACTTTTGAACCTTTTATATCACTAATTGCCTAAAAACCCTATGTTCTGTCCCAAACAGTCATGACATTGTATCAGTGCACATGTCAATGCATTGCGTATACGGTACATGACATACAGGCTTCAGAGGTTTATTGTTGATGATATAAAATTATAGGACAATAAACAAACCTTTCCTCTTAGGAATGTGCCCCTTGAATGTCTTAGTTCCTGCATTCTTTTATTCATTCACCATTCTATTCRTTCTATCTTTCATTTCATTACACATGGTTCGCACAGGCCTGGAAAAGTCCTTGAAAATGCTTTGAGTCCTTGAAAACTCCTTGAATTTAAAGATTTAGCAAAATGTCCTTGAAAAGTCCTGGATTTTGCTCTTTAAGTCCTTGAATATTTCCAGTTTTACCTTGAAAATCAGTTCCTTAKAGAAATGTTKTTATTGACATTCAAAAATGTATAAAAATGTTGYTTTTTGCCDTTTTKTATTATWTTCTTAGATAAGAGCGTGTGTTTGTACTTGATAAATTATTTGTCATTTCAATGAAAAAAGTAGAGAGAAGCCTGGGAACGAGGGTCCAATATTGGATCTAATTGATTTGTGGGAAATTTACAAGATGGYAGGGTGATTTAGTAAAGGATTTAGATGAACCCCCCTACTTTAGCTAATTGAATAGCACATCGGTCGACACGGAAAGGTGCTTTTTGCTTGTAAGAACAATGAATAAGGGCTCAAAAGGTCAGTGTKTGTACAATGGAAARTGGGAGTCGAATCCAGAATACAAAGACTGGATTTGTGCTTTCAAAGCAGATAGGAAGAAGGCACGATGCAAGTGGTGTGATCACTTGATTGATTTGTCAACCATGGGGGAAAGTGCTCTGAAATCCCATTTAAAAGGAGCAAAGCACAAGCAAAACGGCACTACAAGTACATAACTTTGTTTGTGTCTCATAAACTATATAATTTAAAATAAATTATACTTATATTAGTCCTTGAAAATACCAAAAAAGTCCTTGAAAAGCCCTTGAAAAGTCCTGGAATTTTTTCCTTGTATTTCTGTGCGAACCATGTTACATGTCAAGAGATTATTTTATTTTTAATTTAAATGATACCACTTTATAATGTTTATTTCTTAAATGAATAGAATCTGGTGGAAACATGAGACATTTTCACATGAATCGTCCCAGAGGATACGGACCAAATAAACCACACAACTACCGAGACCAAGGAAACAATGACAGAATGGAAAGAGAAAGGACAAAACAACAAYCAAATAACTCATCAGGAAACGCTCCTTCAGTCAGTCCTACTGCTCTAAATAATACTAATACATCAAACAATGCAACAACRAACARCAGTACAGCAAGYAGAGATGGTGCTAAATACTCTGCAGGATCAATGAGAAGGGATCAAGATGATTTCTCAAGGTTGGTTTTATTCTGATATTCACTGCCTATTGATATGAGATATGGACATAATAAAAACTATCCTGGATAACTAATTAATGTTTTTCTCCCAGAAGAAACCAGAAACCTCTTAGTAGAAGGCGAAGAGGAAGCAGTGAAGACATTAGCAGACATTTGGTAAAATATATTGCTCTAATTTGATTATAAATTTATTTTCATTTTTAGAGATTAATTGCAAAGTATCTATTAACTGTTATTTAATTACTTCTTTTTATTGCTACTGGAAAACACATCCAAAAAAAGACTGGTCAGTCGGTAGTTGAGTACGAACACTAAAACTGTGCAACATGAATRCCACTAAATACTGCTAAATTATGTAGTATATATTGTTTTCTATTGTTTAATGAAYACTATTTTGTTGTGAATAGTGGAAAGTGTTGCACACATTTAAAATGTTTGTACTCTATTTTTTGCTAATTAATATTTTCATGTGCAGCGCACGAAGGAAAACCGTTCAAGTCCAGTTCGTCACAGTAAAGATGACAGYGACACCTTGGATTTGGCACCATCAAGCTTCCCACCACTTCCTACTGCAGCATTTGGAAAGGTATGAAAATCGCTTTCTGTGCCTTGACACAGTAATAAAACAGAGATGAAATATATATATTTGGAAGGGAATCTTTAAGTGATGAGGTACTGTGCTTCAAAATGGACTCCTTTGAAGTACAGTATGAGATAAACTTCTAGGCTGAATTGTTCAAAGCTCCAATTGTACTAATCTTGGGTTAACTCTACAAAAACCTTTRGATTAAAGGTGATTGGACATCAAATGACTTGGTGAATTACGTCTTAGTGAACGTTTCAGTGTTTCTCAGTTTCATGTCTCCATCACATCTGTCATTTCTCATTATTCACATCAATCAAGCATATTTCTAGAATAAGACTAATACTACAATATGTGTTATTTCTAGAAGCAGTCTGGATCTGTTTCAAAGGAAGCACCAGAGATAAAGGTACTGTATAGTGTACATGTAAAGATACATGCATTCATGTGGCACCAATTACATGTATACAGTGTATATGATTGAACTAACACTTCCTGTTTTACGTTTTAGACTGCAACTCCTCCTAAAGTTGAAAAACCCGCGAATATCCCAAACTCTAATCCTGCACCGTAAGTTKACTCAATTTCAAAAACGTTTGTTGTGTAGTTCKTTCAACTACAGTTCTGCAGAACTCAATACTTGTAAGTAATGTGAACTGTTGAATCGTTCCTGAAAGATCTTGGAAATGATTGTTTTTCCTTATTTTTTTGAAACCTGAAATACTATAATTCTTCTTATCCTARACCATCATGATTATTTGTAAACACCGATGTCTGGCTGTATCAATATAATTATAACGCTTATAAATTGAATGAACACAATCTTGTACCCTAAGCCTTTGTTTTCTTGACCGCGCTGTCGGTAGGCATTTTGTTGCCCCAGATTCTTACATTTTCATTCCAAGAAAACGAGGGTTAGGGTTAGAATGAATGACTTTATGATTGAGATTTTTATTTAAAACAGTTGGTCAAAGATAACTGAAAACTCCACCATACAAAACAGGTAAGAATAAATGTGCAAAATGTSTACCATGTATTGTATTGTAAATTGCCCTTGATTTTGTTATTCAGACCCAAACCTGAAGTGGTTAGTCCAACCCCAAAGCCCGTAGAAACTCCAGTGTTGCCAAAAGAACCAGTTGTAAAACCTGAAAAGTCACCAGTTTCAGTAAGTGAACTCCAACGGAATGCGTTATAATAAGTAAGACAAAACAACAACAATAATAGCAAACAAAAACAGTTAAAGTCGCTCTTAGAACGCATGTGGTTACTCCAAAACTCGACGACGCGTATCTCATGAGGCATTCGGCCTTAACGCTGCGATAATCGATCGTGAAATGATCAAAGCGAATTCAGAAAGAGTCGCGTATAAGTCGGATGTTACAGATTTCTTTCTTGCTTACATCGCGACGACATAGTGGATTACTCCGTACCGGATTAACCACAAAAAAAACTGAAAAGCTTTATACAGTGTCGAAAATCTGGTTCATAACTAATTGGTTGTGATATTGATATAATAGTATTGACCTTGCTTGCTTGCATGGGCTGTATTCCACAAGTAATTTATGAAACTTTACCAGTCCCTGACCAGTCCCCCCATTGTACATTGGCTGCCCTCGTTTTATATGGAAGCGATCTCCCTGACCAGGAATTTGCTAATTTTATTATTCCTTACTGGAAGACATTGCTAACCAATGTACTCTACATTAAACATAGGAAAAGCAGCCTCCAGTTAACACACAACAACAGTCTAATCTCTCAAAACAAGCTGAAAAAATGAGCTATGCACAAATGGCTGCACAAAAAGGACCTAAGCCTGCAGCTGCTGCTGGCTCACCACCAAGTAATCAAACCAAGTCGCCTGGAAAATAATACAAACTACTGCATCCATTTTCACCCTTTGATGTCTGATGTTTATGTTGGTCTTACTGGCTTTACTACTTATACCACTGTGGATATAGATATAGATATGCCTTTTTGTAAAAGATTGAACGGGAAAACGAATAATTGAAAACAAATGAGTTGCTTTCGATGTATATCTACTTAGTTTGGTCAAACTTGACATTCATCAACTTTTGATTCATGATAGAGACTTCATGTCACTCAGTTGTCATTCAATATTAAGTCTGCAAAAGTCAGAACTTTTTGTTGGCTCCAGAGGCATAATGGAATTGCAGCACACACTGATTTGAAATGTGATTGCGGATTCTAATGTCCAACAACTTTCTAGAGAATTACTGTGTGGCTATCAAAATTTTATCATTATGGTGAAGATTACAAGATGCTAGTAATGTGAAACTCTTCGTGAGTATCTTGACCATCAAACTGATCATGGAATTTGATCGTGGATAGAACTGGATGATTAACAGATCACATCAAGGAATTTTGTGATTATGCAGCTTTGAGGACAAATTGAACTATTAATAACAAAGCTTAGAAGACATTGAGTGTCTAATGATGAACACTTATCAAGAAGTAGCGAGTATTTAAAAGACTGTATAGTCGTAGTGTATTTCAAGGACATTTACACTCAATGGATTATACATTATTGGAATCATTGGATTCTATTGCAAGAGACTACATACTTGGTCCCTGGACTGGACCTCACAGAGTGGCTTGCGGCGATACTACTCTGTACACTGGTATCACTGGTCAGGTATATAACTATGGATTGGTTCCTAACCTGTATATGCTGGTTAAAAACTAGTATGACTAGTTAAACTAGAATTACTGGTCAACTTGGTTATGTTAGGCATTGACATGAAAAAAGTCATTCCTTGCCTTCCTAGAATTATACTAACATGTACAACTAATGAAATCAAGGTACATGTTTGAGTATATTTGGTGTAGATGACTGGCAGAACTTGTTAGTGACATGTTACAATGTATAAAATATCTTAGGTGTATAATAGATTGTGGCATTTTCAGCAAAGCACATTTTTCTTAGCCTTGACTGCCGTCTGGTATCCAGATAATGAGTAGAACAAAACGGAGTATTTTATGACGCGGTTCGTTTTTGGAAAAATGTCTTTGTATTATTGCTGGAAATTCAGTAGAGGTCACACTTGGTTTGTATTATGTCCATTTATCTAGTATATCGGCCGGCATTAATAGTTCTTACTAAGATTCTGAGAATTAATAACAGCTGGTGTGCGATTTCTTGAATTGAACCCTGGACATAAAACATTCTCTCCAAACTTGAACCTATTGAAACTCTGGTACTGACAACCATTTATGAAATTCTTGAAAAATATTCAGGTGAAAACTTTAGTAGTTATTGCTATGCAAAAAGAAAAGAAAAATGATCTATTTTATAAGGAAAATGATGGTCTAGAATATCATGTTTTCCTTAATATTCTTAAAATCTTGACCTTGCATAATTCCTTTAAGTGAAATCTTAGCTCATACTTATAAACAGGTTTTGCCTTGTTCATTTTGTCTATTTTGCCTTCTGATTGGCGATTTCTGTTCTCTAATAATATAAAATATTAAGTGTGATAGCCGATTTATTTTAATGAAAAATTTGGAAAAATATTTTGACTTGATTTTGGCTTGAATGCGTTTTCTAAAAATGGCTATTATTCAGTGTTGTATCTTTGACTTTGTAGAATTTTTTCTGACCTATTTTTAAATAAATGCTATTGGAATGGATTATGCTGAGATCGGACAATTAAATTATGTTTTGATTACTTGATCTATAGCTTTCTAAACTCATCAGTTATCAGTTATATAACTGACAGAAGCTAGTAGTTTAAACTCGCAAGGGACTCAACAGGCTTAATCCAAAATTTATCGTCATCGTTTTCGTATTGGTATTTTTAGTGTTTTGGAGGGCGAAGCCCTCATCATGGTTAAGGACAGGAATGGATACGATGKAGACTAAAACTGGTCCGAATTAACACTTTCATTCATTCAACAATGTAAATACAACGTGCTTTTTTTTAAGAAAACTTTATGTCGCGTCATAAAAGCTCAAAAAATCTCAAAGTTGTTTGAATCTYGGAATTGCATTACAATGCAAGAAGAATCGCGTCGTTTYAATAGAATACTTGAGATGTGAGCTAACCTTTTAGCAAACAAAAGATGGAAAGGAACATAGTACGGCCTARGTAGATTTATGAAACGCAATCRTGCTGGTTTGACTGACAGATTCGCAACTACGAAATCTTAAGATATATATATGATATAGCCATAATGTTAGTAAMGGCTTTTTTGTCTCGATGTCTTGTACAGAAGAGTTATTGTAATAWGTGGAGATACTCAGACCTGTGAAATAATTATATTTGAACAATATAAAAGTCCAGCAAACATACAGGGTTTTGACTTCACGCTAGATTACTAGCTAGCGCATTGTTTGAGTTATAATTATAAATATGCGGATATGATTTCTAGGGCGTCGATATAATGTAAAAATGACAAAAAAGATTGATTTTAGATTACTAGTACAAACGTGTATGTCTAAAAACTGTGAAATTCTATGAGAAAAATAGAAAAATATTTTAGAATTGATTCTCTATAAAGTAAATATCTRAATGAGGACATTTTCTTCATCTTCATATTGTAGGATTTATGCATCAATCGGTCACGTGGTACAATATCCACCATATTGGATGGCAAGTTAGAATGTATATAGCTTTAAATACAATCTGAGTCAACCAAGGAGAGTTTATTTTTGGAGTTCTTTAATCTTTATCTTAAAGCAAAATAACTTCTCCGTGGATGACTAAAGGTTGTATTTATAGCTATTTGCATAATCAATTACAGTGGATTTTGTACCAGATAGGAGCAATAGATGCAGAAGACCTATTCCAGACGATCTTTGACATATCAGTGAAAAATAAATAAGTTTTACTTTATAGAGAATTAACTTAGCATTTGAATTCCATTCTTTGATGATGGTCTCTGCTTGTCGGGTTTAGAAGCTAAAGTTACTTAGATAATAGCACTATTCAGTTCTTTCGTCTACAAAGCATTATTTAAAGGTGTATTTTTGTTCCAGCACTGTTGTATTTAGTTATATATTATAAGTGTGTATGCATGCTCAAACACTGTGAATGGCTCAGTATGTGTTGGTTGCAGTTCACTGAGGGCCCTGCCSAAACAGCAAACTTTGTTTTTATGGATTTTCCCGTTTACATTTCAAGTGTTCACTCAGATTAACTAGTAAATACATCAAGTGCATGTAAAGCTTGCATCCACAAAAGAAGGTTTGCTTAATCAAAAATAGCATGATACAAATAGATTGGGCCTTGTATGATAATCCTTTCTCCAAAATGGCCGCAAAAGTTTTGCTCAACCGAAGACAAAATGAGCCCCAAGATACTTCAGKATATGCTTCACTTAGAAGTTTAGAAAAATTCTGTAGGGATGAGATAGTACTGAGGAAAAAAAAAACAAAAAAAAAACGGCTTATTTTTCAAATGGCGACCATTTTGGATAAAGGCCTATTTCGAACAGGAGTGGTCACATTTGGCATTTTGTCATCAGATGACTTTGACACTATGTTTGACTAAAATTTCACCATCAATCTCTATTGATTCCTCACGCCTCGTTAAGTCGGTTATTTTTCAAAAAAACCTTTCTATAAAAGTTCCAAGGCTTCTGGTGCCAAATTGAAATYCATTTGTGTTATAGAAATGTAATGGTGATCACAAGATCTGTGTGACGGAAGAAGGGTAACCAACAATGACATAAATTGTGTTCAGAACAGGTTTTGTTTATGCGCATACTCCACTTCGCCATTACTGCGTGAGATACATCACCTGAGATGAACACGCAGTTTCATTCAACGTGCAGGCACAACTATAATGGCAAAGGGGAACTGTATTTTGATGAAAACAAAACATTTTGAAAGCAATCCTAAATGTCATTATTGGAATCTTGCTTTGTCCAAGAAAATATGGTAAACTGGGCCACCACATGCTGKAGTCAAAACAAGAAATTTATCATAACTGTGAAAAAGGTTTTCTAAAGCATTAATTTGTTAATAGACGGCATATTTTGATAGAGCACAGCGAAAAAAAATTAAAACTTAGACTTTATGTTGTTTAGTAATTTCAGTCCACTAATTTGATGGTTTACAACCTGTCGTATTTGTCTAAAGCACTATAGTTAAGATAACAATAGMCTCCTTCAAGGTTCCCTGCGCCATCTTGAAAGGTAGCCGTGCCTTTGCATCGAAGCGAGACACCCGTTGAGCGTGCAATGATAGATATCTGTGAATAATTGTCTGTACGTGTGAAAGAAGGTTTCTATCATTGACGCTCAACGTCCCGCTTCGATTCAAAGGCACGGCTACCTTGCAAGATGGCGCAAGGAACCGTGAAGAAGACTGTTTGCAGAGGCATTAAATTGGAATAACACTTAACATTAGACTGTAACAATGATTGTCACAGAAAAGTTGTAAGGAGGGTGAATAGCGCTATCCATCATCGGATAAAATCCGTACAAAGTATCGAGTGGATAACTTTATCCAACCTTCAAGCAACCGAGATCCAGACATTACAACTAGTCGCATGTCGATGAATCAAAATTGAAACCAAACGACGTCGCGAGAGTTTTGCAGCAGATAACTTAAAGTAAAGTGTGATTTAACCATGTGTTACAACGCTGTATCAGATTCTTGAAAAGTCAGATAAGTCCACAACGTTTTGGAAATGGAATTATTTGAATCGAAAGAAATGGCATGATATTTATTTTMATTGGTTAATCCGTGTTTAAATTCCCCTGATGCAGATGCATTTGGTAACCTTACCTGGCTTGAYATTCTTGCACAATTAAGGTTAAAGTTCCCTCTGTTTTCTGAACACTTAGTGTTTGGTATTTTTCGTTTTCACTATACGTCACAGCGGCCATCTTGGGAGAACTTTAGAACAAAGGATTTCTCATTAGTATCTATTGTTCACTCCTCCAATATGGCCGCCGGTCTTTTGTCTTGTGAATCTCATGGGAATGGCTGAAAACGATCGATATGTTGTATGAATGAATMAATACGTACTGCATGACCAAGGAACTGAGGGACGTGTAGTGGGTTAACGAAGGTCTAGACTAGTCTGTTCTGCTGTAAARATAAAAATATTGTTAATCTCAAACAATGTTCGAAAATATGATTAAAGGATATTTTGACACCTTTATAAATCACGCGTCCAAGTATTTTTCTTAGAAAACTAGTGAGAAATATTTGATCACATAACATTCAGACGCTGTTGGCATGCATGGCCCAACGCTTAAGATTCGGCCATTTAACTGCTGTTGGTGACCAAACATTTGTCAGGGTCAGCACAAATAAGATCTAGAAACTGGAATTGTAAGGGGGGATCCAGAAAGTTCTTTAGGGTGTGCACTTGCAGGGATGCACACGGAAATGAGCACAAAGGAGACAAAGTATGAAGTAGACAATGTCTCGGGTTCGGGAGGGAATGTGCACAATTTGCACCCACAAGACATTTGACCCATCCCGATCTGGTCTTCTGGTTGTAACCAAGGGTGGTGAGAAGGCAGAAATTTTTATTTTCAGGTTTAACACTCATCTGTCAAAGTAAAATTCCCGGTCTTTTTCCCGGGCTGAAAGCAAATTTTCAATGATGACAGTATCGATACGCACAATCTCTTAATAGAGAATTCAATATTTCCCTGTCTTGGCCACCGGACAGGAGCCCATTATTAATGAGCTCCTGCCACTTTACTATTAAAATCAAAGAGAGCTTCCGTATTACCTATCAACTAGGTTTGGGAGAGAATCACGGTGATGGAGAATATGTCCCTCAAATTAATGATGTGGATCACGGAAAAGAAGCTTGTTCACATATACCACACATCGATCAAGCTTGTCTGAGAGATCTGGTAGGTCTTCCCCGTTCTCCGACTGAATTATCTGATTGGTTGTGTCGTTTTTAAAAGAACAATGACATGTTTTGTCCTTTGTTTTCTTCTTTTGTTTTGAACAAGCCTATTGGAGTACTTTTCCGAGACAGTTCGAGAGAGGTGGAAGACCACCTGGGGTCGTCTGCACCCGTTGTTTGTTATTGGTTAATTTTTGTTTGCTTGTCGTTTGGCTATTTTTTGTTGTTGTTGGCTTTTTGTCACTTAGATACTAGGTTTACATTGAACGATGACAACAGAGCGCTCGCACTAGTTCTGGCCAATCAGAGCGCACCGAGACCAAATGACGTCATCCGTTAGTGTGTACTGTAATAGCACAAGGCTCTCGACCAATCAAAGAGCTCATAATATAGTAAATATCATA